TAGAGAAATGAACATTAAATTATCTGGCAACAGCTCTGGGGACATTACTGCAGTCACCATGCCAATTGCAAGCTCCATCAAAAATGGAGACATCTGTGGCATTGTTATGTAACAAATCTGAACATTTTAGTGGCCTTTTATTGTCCCAAGCACAAGGTGCACCTGTGTAATGATCATGATGTTTAATCAGCTTCTTGATATGCCACACCTGTCAAGTGGATGGATTATCTTGGCAAAGGAGAAATGCTCAGGGATGTAAACAAATTTGTGCACTAAATTAATGACAGAGAAATACGATTTTTGTGTGTATGGAACAATTCTGGGATCTTTAATTTCAGCTCATGAAACATGGGACCAACACTTTACATGTTGCGTTTATATTTTTGTTCAGTGTAGTTGACATCAGTAAAGTTTTCTCTGTCATCTCTGCTTCGTTCAGAGCAAAGACGTTTAGGGACCGGGGAGAAAATGCAGTAGCCTAACTAAAAAAACGGGAAACATTTCCAGTTTGACCGGTTGTAGGGAAATAGAAAGCTGTGAAAACTGCCCAACATGTTTCTGATAAGATTTCATTTTGGCTTGGATGCATATTTTATGTGCTGAAATACTATCAGCTTTCATTATGCTGATAAAAATAGCACCTCTACAGACGGTATCTAACTGGTACATTCACATTCTCTCGAGATCCTCAAATAAATCAATCATATTTCTTCCACTCCTGTCCCCAAGTCAAAATTTAGTCTACATAGAGTGTATCATTTTACTGTTAAGAAATTCTTCATTCTACAGGAGTTACTATTAAGGCTATGTGAGAGGTTATAGACCTACAGTCACTGTCCAGATTTCAGTTTCCATCTAACCCATCTGAACAGTAGGCTACAGTTCCCTTGACGTGCCATAGGCCTATTTCAAGCTCCCTCTTGTGACTGTCAAATTTGTATCGCGCCTCACAGTAATTACACATAACATGGCCGGCACTGCTATCATCCTCTTAACACTTCACCAAATCTTTCCCAAACAGTACTTTTCAGACCCTCCCTTGTCTTTATTTTCAACTCTCCATTTCGCAGCTTTTCTCTTATTGAATAAACTCCAACATTGTCCTTTTTGCCTCTGTGGATCGATTTTTCTGCCCATTCCCAAAAGCATTTGGTGATTGGCATGTAGGCTATTTGTCGCACTTAGTTAGGCCCAAAAGCTTAGGCTTATGCACTAATGCCAGATAGCCTAAAATAATGAACTAAAACCTCAATATATCCTATAGATATAAATTGCACAAGAATGATACATTTATGGATTTTTTTGCACTGGACTACCCGGACTATTTGCACTGCCCCCCCACCCCATCCTTTTTACGCTGCTGCTACTCTGTTAAGTATTTATGCATAGTCACTTTAACTCTACCCACATGTACATATTACCTCAACTATCTCAACTAGCCGGTGCCCCCGCACATTGACTCTGCAACGGTACCCCCCTGTATATATAGCCTCCCTACTGTCACTTTATTTTACTGTATATATAGCCTCCCTACTGTCACTTTATTTTACTTCTGCTCTTTTTTTCTCAACACTTTTTTTGTTGTTGTTTTATTCTTACTTTTTTTGTTTAAAATAAATGCACTGTTGGTTAAGGGCTGTAAGTAAGCATTTCACTGTAATGTCTGCACCTGTTGTATTCGGCGCATGTGACCAATAAAATTTGATTTGATTTGATTTGATTTTTGAATTTGTTGTTTTCTCTGTATTCAACCCGCCAGCCACCGAACCGCCCTTAATCCACACAATATTTAATGACCCTAAACCCGCCTGCCCCGCGGATATAACCGTGGGAACTCAACCCACACATCACTACTGGAAGGGCAATCCGCAAAAGCAACAAACTGAACACTCCCAACGCACAGGCCCCTATCAGAACTCTCCCATTCCATACTTCACTAAACTGATGAATTCACACACCATATAGCCCAGGGGCCTTAGAAATACCTACCTAAGAACTCAAAATATTTATTTTCTAAAGCTGCCACCCAAACCTTGTTGTAGTATTGTTGTTTGTATATATTGCATATTATAACATTGTATTATGGTAACCCAGTGGGGAAAACCTGGTTGAAAAGACGTCAGTATGACATCTTTTTATGACATCTTATTCGGTTTGCAAACTGGTTGAAAAAGTTTTTTATTTTATTTGACCAAATATGAGGTGTTTTTCTGACCACCATACGACCAGTTAGTCATAATTGTGACCTCTATCTGACCAGCTGGTCATAATTACGACCACTATATTAAGTGTTTTGCTAGTTTAGGATTTTACTATTTGATAATTATATATGATCGATGTTATGATTTTAAATTGGTGTACAATTGTCTGACTGCGAGAAACGAATAAAACCTACTATTACTACTACATACATTTTTACAATAGACAATTTTTACTTTGTGGCTGTGGTAATTAGTGACACCCATAGAACACTCTCGGCTTGTTTACTCATAATTGAAAAATCTATTTTTGCTCAAGACAATTCTTATGAGTAATGCACTCAGTTCAGTGCATACAAATGTCCACTAGAAGAAGAAAAAAATGGTCGTCTTGATGGTCCAAATATAATTGCTTTTCACTTATGCCAGAAAGATTGAAGATTAGCTATTTTCAGTGGCGTGTATTCATGGATGCCAAGGGAAGCCAGGCTTCCCCAAAACATTTACCAAGAAAATAAACATATGAAATAATTTATGTTTTGTCTCTCCGTGTTTCATAATTTTCCTTCAATTCGGAAGTGGCTGAATGTATCTCACCGGAGAAAGCATCCGAGCGAGCGAAACAGCGCCCCTCTGTCTCTGTATGTGTAGCCCATCTATCTGATGCTGTCTGGTCAAAAATAGTATGACACTGTTGCCACCTGTAGCATTGAATGCAAGGGGAGCAAGCGAGCATTTGGCCTCCCTTGATATTTAAAAAAATTTAATAATAGCCAATCAGCATTGAGTTAAACTGAGTGAGCTCAACTGTGAATGGTGCTGGCACACCAGAGCAAATTGTCAAGGGAAGCCAGTTTGGATTTGGCTTCACACCAATCACATCAAAGGCAAAATGTAATTGACATAAAAAAAACTTGTGTCGTTGTCCTCCGGTGGCTAGCTAGCTAGCTAAAAATGTCCCTTTCCTAAATTAGCAATAGATGAAGATAGGGATTTGGACTTGAGGTTTTACTTAATTCTCCGTACTGGCCAATGATTATAACTGCTATTCTGATCCAACCATAAATGCATACATTGTGTCCCTTGCCTGAGAGGATGGAAATTCAATATGTAGCTAGATGTAGTAGGCTAATTTTAACTGACTGGCTCATCGTTGCCCATGAAAGGATGTTAGGCTAGCGAGCAAGCATTTTAGCCAGGTAGCCTAGGATAACAAAAACTAAAAGCATGTACTGCATGACAGAGTCATAGACCGTTCCGTCAACATGAAAGAGAGGAGGATGGCATTGGTGTTTCTCTACAAGTAGGGTCAGTTTTCTACTCGCACGCACGCACGCACACACACACACACACACACACACACTGTTTTAAAATCACCATTGGCCTCATGGTGAAATCCCTGAGCGGTTTCCTTCCTCTCCGGGAGCTGAGTTAGGAAGGATGCCTGTATCTTTGTAGTGACTGGGCGTATTGATACACCATCCAAAGTGTAATTAATAACCATGCTCAAAAGGATATTCAATGTCTGCTTTTTTTTTATTACCCATATACCAATAGGTGCCCTTCTTTGCAAGGCATTGGAAAACCTCCCTGGTCTTTGTGGTTGAATCTGTTTTTGAAATTCACTGCTCGACTGATTGACCTTACAGATAATTGTATGTGTGAGGTACAGAGATGAGGTAGTCATTCAAAAGTCATGTTAAACAATGTTATTGCACAAAAAGTGAGTCCATGCAACTTATTATGTGACCTGTTAAGCAAATGTTTACTCTTGAACCTATTTAGGCTTGCCATAACAAAAAGACATTTCAGCTTTTCATGTTTAATTAATTTTAATAAACTTGAAAAACATAATTCCACTTTGACATTATGGGGTTTTGTGTGTAGGCCAGTGACAAAAAAATATAAATGTTATCCATTTTAAATTCAGGCTAACACACAACAACATTTGGAAAAAGTCAAGGGGTGTGAATACTTTCTGAAGGCACTGTAGCTAGCAATGGTAATGTTACCCCCTCCCCCCCATAAAAAAAAAGAAAAGTGTGGTTGTCCCACTGGCTATCCTAAGTTGAATGCACCAATTTGTAAGTCTCTCTGGATAAGAGCGTCTGCTAAATTACTTAAATGTAAATGTAAATCTAGCTAAAATGTCAGTGCTCTCCCCTAAATCTTAGCTAGCTAGCTAAAGTTATACTGTATCTAAAGTCAATCTTGCGACATCACAATGATGACAAAAAGCTTGTCCTACTAATTATTTGACTCCTTTTGAAATGTCATCGCGTTTCCAAGCCAAAGTAATCTTCATCAGCACCCATTGAGACTGCATTGAGTAGAATCAGTCCTAAAACGAACGTTTAAAACAATATTGTGATGAAACGTGCAACCCATGAATATAAGGCCACGTGTGCTTTCCCAAATTGTTTTCAAAGTGACAGAGAACATCTGAAAGCATTTCCTTTTCATCAAATGGCAGGTAGCACAGACTATCATACCAAAAGCACTTTCCCAAAGTTTTTGGATATATATTTTTATTTATTTTACCTTTATTTAACTAGGCAAGTCAGTTAAGAACAAATTCTTATTTACAATGACGGCCTACACCGGCCAAACCCGGACGACGCTGGGCCAATTGTGCGCCGCCCTATGGGACTCCCAATCAACAGTTCACAAGTGGCATGAACCCTGATCAACCCTATCTCACAAACTGATATTGCTAGAGTTGAACAAGCCTTAGCCCTAACCTAATTCCAAGGTCATGTAGGATTTTCAGCTGACGCTCCATTGCTTTGATTGTTGCTGCCATCAGGTGGGGCCTGTCCTCTGAAGGTCCTCGCAGCCCCGTTGGTGGACGCGCATGTGCTCAGTGACCCGGTACTGTCTGGAGAAGGTCATGGGACACTGGGGGCAGGAGTAGGGCCTAACACCCAGGTGGGAGCGCATGTGTCTGTTGAGGGAGCCTCGCTGGCTGAAGGCCCTATCACACATAGTGCACTGGTAAGGCTGGACAGAGGCAGAGGCAGAGGCAGGCACACTCAGCTGACTCCCATTGGAGTCAGGGTATCCTGCCGAGGGATGTTTGGCTGAAATGTCCAGTAAAACGAAATCTGAGGCGCTGGCTTTGACATTTATGCCAAGACCTTCTCGGAGGTCAGAGTTAGCCATAGCACTATACAGACCATCGTCGTCTGAGTCACTGGATTGTACAGGGTGATGTTTTTCCCTTGCAAGATAGTGATAGCGAACTTGTCCTTGATACGTTTCCATTTCGTTGGTGTTAGTGTTACTGCCCTTGATATCACTTCTGCTCTCGTTTGATGTTACCTCCTCAGATAATTTGGGGTTTAGTGTAGAGTAGCTCGCTGCCTTAGTCCATAGATTTAATCTAGAGGCACTCTGAAAGCATTTTGTTTCGTCGCCCTGGGGACAATATCCACTGGTGACCTTTGAACTCCATAAATCCTTGAATTTACCCATAGGGGTGTTTTCTTTGGCATTATCAGGGATGTACTCATTAGCGGCTGAAATATTTTCTAATTGCCGTGTGGGGTGGCATTTAAAACATTTCTCTTTGTTTGACTCTAACTGATCTATTGTAGAAAACCCCTCACTGTTACTACCTTTGGAAGTTTTATCTAAGTGAGGACAACTATGAATCCTGGAGTCATGACTTGAAGTATTGAAGTGGGATGTAACTTCCTGATTTGTGGTGTTTCCAGTATCATCCTCCTCACCAATTTCTGAACATACAACAGTATGTGTCAGGATAGCATTCCCAGAACTTTGTAATACAGATTTTCCATCCAACTCCCTTTGACGCCTTCCTTTATAATATGCAGCATCCTCTGGGGCAGCCATGGGCAGATCCTGGACATTGGAGCCTGCACTGCCAGATACAATCTTTATTTGTTTTGGTTGTGACTCATATAAAGCTGCCTCATAATTAACATCCTTTTGTAATCTATAGTGCTTTAAATTGTGTCCAGGGCCAAGTGTCACCTTTCTCTCACTGACTCCTGCCTCCTTTCTGGTCACGTCAAACTCAATGTTCAATTTTCTGCTTTCAGGTCTGGGTTCTGACAATAGAGAAGGCTTTCCAGTTGTACTGACATGGCATATGACGGGGACGACTTCACAACTTAGAGGGGATGGTGTGCAGTGCGATAGAGAATGTTCATTCGTCTTGTTTTGCTGCTGATCTGAACATTCCCTCTTTAGATTGGGTTTTATGTCTGCTGGACGAATGAACATAGAAATGAGAAAGAATAGATGATTTTAGAAATTAGAACAACAATGTGATATTATTCTTACACAATTTAAATAATTAATAGATGGATCATTTTACCTGCAACAGTGCAGTCAGACACAGGTGTTGTGTCCAGTCTGCTCCTTCTTATTAAAGCCTTCTGGAGTTCCTCCATTTGCAGATAAGTAGCAGCAGAGAGAATAGATTCATCCTGATCTGGTGGGGGTAGTGTCCCAGTGTAGATAAATTCCAAAAGAGACCCTAGAATTTCAGTCGAAGGGGATGGAAACTGCAAGTCCAGCAGTGCACCTTTACTGGGGAGAAGGGAAGCCAATACGGGACTAGAAGCTGACAGGACATTTTTGTGGGCCAGATAAAGTTTCACCGGGTTCAGATGTTGTCGAATCACACAGTCACAAAATTGCCCCTCCATTCTCTGAAAATTGAGTTTCCTCAGCAGGGCCACAGCATGGGTGCTGACCACTAAAGGATATGTTCTCATCTAGGTAACAGATTAGAACGAGTCATTAAAACAAACTCATCATGGTGTGGCATGAGTCTTTTTGTTCAATATGTTTGAAGTTTGCACATACTGTATTGAGCATGTTGAGATCTGTAGGCTAACTAGACCATTGCAAATATTATGATAATATTATGACAATTTAAATAGGCAATGATTCTAGAGGGGCTTCTGTCCCAATTCTATGGTGACAATAAACAACTTTTCAGATCTATAGAACTGTTGAGTTTCATGCACAGAACAGGTTGATTTGGTTTTGCATTTATAACATACAAATAATCTCACAATATGAAACAAGACAGAATAACAAGAATGTATAGGCCTATCAATAACTAGATTATATACCTATTATTACAGCCTATTATTACATTCTGAAACAATAACATTTTCATTCAGTATAGTTTTATATGCTTCTAAATAGCCTAACAAATAAATTGTGTTACTTACATTAATCGTGAACGCACTCTTCTTAAATAAGTGCATAGAATCCTTGCAAAAGTGAAAACTAAATAGAAGTACCCGTGTATATACTCCGCTGCCGGTGGCTACGTGCGCTTTCATTCGGCAAATAATCTCATGCTTTTGATACTACGAGCCTGGCAACGTGACACTCTTCAACAGCTGCTTTTAGGGAGTCCCTGCCATGACGCCAAAGTCTCCATGTCCGGATATGGTGAGACCCAACCCACATTTCCACTGCAGTGTCCTCTCTTGTTCCATGCAATGATGTATACAAACATCATTGGTTAACGACCCTGCGCAACCCTCAGTGACGCTTTGTTGACAACTCCATAAATGCGGTCTCCTCCTGTCCCCTACCCCACGTGTTCGTCACATCCCCACTGTACACTTACTAAGGTTACACTTATCACCGTAGTTCCGTGGGTATGTTTCTAGCGCAATGGAAATACCACCACAGATATAGCTTGCTGCAGCCTCATTCGGAAACAGGGATTATGGTTACATTTATAATGAAGTGTAGGCACTATTTTAAATATAGTACTAAAATAGAACACAACATATACAATAATATCCCCTATTAAGAAATTACCCGAACCAGTGTAGGCTGGTGTTGAGGCTGTCTTTGTGGAGGACCCAGACTGCACACATAAGGAGCGTTTAGACAGGCAGCCCAATTCTGAACTTCTTTACTAATTGGTATTTTGACCAATCCTATCAGCTCTGAAAAAGATATGTGAAAATATCTGATGTGATTGGTCAAAAGACCAATTAATGGAAAAAATATCACCACCCCGACTATTTACATTGACCCTAAAAAACACAATTCTGCTCAAAACATATTTCTATACTTATACGTGGGATTTTGTTTTTCAACAGGAAAAGTTCAAAAATAGCTGGAGTGCTTCTTTAAACAGTGGTGGGAAAAGTACACAATTGTCATACTTGAGTAAAAGTAAAGATACCTTAATAGAAAAGAACTCAAGTAAAAGTAAAAGTCTAAAAGTATTTGGTTTTAAACATACTTAAGTATCAAAAGTAAATGTAATTGCTAAAATATACTTAAGTATCAAATGTAAAAGTATAAATAATTTCAAATTCTTTATATTAAGCAAACCAGACGGCACCATTTTCTTGTTTTTTAAATGTATGGATAGCCAGGGGCACACTCCAACACTCGGATATAATTTACAAATGAAGCATGTGTGTTTAGTAAGTCCGCCAGATCAGAGGCAGTAGGGATGACCAGGGATGTTCTCTAGATAAGTGCATGAATTTTGACAATTTTTCTGTGCTGCTAAGCATTCAAAATGTAACAAGTACTTTTCGGTGTCAGGGAAAATGTATAGAATAAAAAGTACATTATTTACTTTAGGAATGCAATGAAGTAAAAGTTGTCAAAAATATAAATAGTAAAGTACTGATACCCCCCAAAAAACACTTAAGTAGTACTTTAAAGTATTTTTACTTAAGTACTTTACACCACAGTCTTTAAGCCAACATATCCAAAAGTGAAGGTGTTGGGTTGAGTCGCTGAACCCGGGCTCGAGTCTTGGTTGGGGCTCCCCCTGAATTTGCTGCTTTAGTAGTAGTAGGCGTAGTAGTAGGCGTAGTATTAGTAGGGTAGTAGTACTGGTAGTAGTAGTAGTGATAGTAGTAGTAGCCAGTGGAGGCTCCTCAGAGGAGGAATGGGAGGACCATCCTCCTCAGTAAATTTCATAAAAAATTTAATTGTAAAAAATTAAAAAAGTTCAAAATTCTTGATAAAACTATCCTAAATATAATCACGTAACCAAATAACTGATTAAAACACACTATTTTGCAAAGAAGGTATACAGTAGCCTCAACAGCACTCTGTAGGGTAGCACCATGGTGTAGCCGGAGGACAGCTAGCTTCCGTCCTCCTCTGGGTACATTGACTTCAATACAAAGCCTAGGAGGCTCATGGTTCTCACCCCCTTCCATATACTTACACAGTAATTATGACAACTTCCGAAGGACGTCATCCAGCCTATCAGAGCTCTTGCAGCATGAACTGACATGTTGTCCACCCAATCAAAGGATCAGTGAATTAATCTAGTACTGAAAGTATAAGCTACAGCTAGCTAGCACTGCAGTGTATAAAATGTGGTGAGTAGTTGACTCAAAGAGAGAGAAAGACAATAGTTGAACAGTTTTGAACAAATTAATTTCTTCCAAAATGAAGGAGAAGCAACTACTCTAGCTAATATGGTGACAACGATGTAGGCTGTGTGCAGCGGTTTGGCTTGGAACGTTTTTTTGCCTGGTCACATACAGCTGATGTGTTGTGCATTAAAAGTCCACAAGCGAAGGGAAGAGGTGAGAGGAAGAGAGCCATAGATGCGAGAAGGAATACAATATGGCTGCTATGAAAGTGAACTGTGTTTACGTGTGATTGGGTCATTCAATTCTGTTGAAAAACGTTTCTTAAACGGAATAGAAACTCTTGTTTGCAACTGTTGGACTAATGATTACACCCTATATCAGCTTAGATGCAGGCAAGAGTGTATTGAATGTCACTGTCTGTCCATGTGTCAAATTTGAATGTCACTGTCTGTCCTGTGTACACCTACATTGTAAACTTTAATTCATAGGCTAGGTTGTAGTAACCTCATGATGGGTATAGGGAAAATTTGAGTATCATGTAGTAGCCTAAACCTATTGCTGTTACCAGTGGCGGCTCCTGAAAAAATTCTCAGGGGGGGGCAATTTTTCTGATGATTTAGGTGACCTACACACATTTAAAAAAAGATATGTCCAGCAACAACATGAAGACAGGGGCAGCATATAAGTCAATACCAGAAGCATTTATTGACTGATCTCAAAAGTGTTGGCTTACCAGGGTTGGTGGAGCCCTCAGTTTCATCTTTGCCTCGCAAAGCTAACTCAAACACTCCGCAAAACTTCACACACTGGATTAGCCGGCTGAGGATGTGGCGGTTCTTGCTAATGTCGTAGTAAATATATTTGTTATAGTGAATATGGAATATGATATGTTGAGTAAAATGTTGTGCTAAGATCTATTTAGGTCAGGAGCTGGTTATAAGTTCTGTTCCTATCCAATAACAATGGACAAAAGGGTCCTATCTTGTCAGCCTTGTCAGTTTCAGTTCTCCAGTAAACTTGTGATTATCAACACTAACCTCATCGTTGTGGCGGCGGACAGCTAGCCTGTATCCCTCATCCAGTTGAGTGGGAATGTTCACTCTCCCCAAAGCAGACAATCTCAAACAGCTATCCATGTGGGTCTTTGACAGCTCATGTTTCTTAATCTTTCCTGAAAGATGGTGCATGTCCGTTACACACCAGTCGCTGTCCAAGCGGTGCTGTCTGCCGTGCCGCCTTCAGGGTGAAAGAGTAAGCAGGGGGTAGCAGAAGACTGCATTAGCTACATCGCAGCCTGCTAGCCAGGTTTTTCGTTCGTACCAATTTTTGGAAAATCCTCGGGTGTAGGACTTCCCCCCTTTAGTAGAAACCTGTTGAATTATTAAATTTGGTCTGGGAGGTCCTAATTGTTTCGTTGCCAATTTATCTTCATTTGTTCGCCGACAAAAAGGAACTTCTTTCAAAGACACAATCGAGTTGCACTGAAGCCTAGCCATTTTTACAGTAGTAGTGAATTGATTGATGAGGCTACCCGCTCTTTTCTTAGTTACGTTCATGGTTACGTTACGTATGACGAAAGCGCGTAAGTGCAAGCCCTCAGAAACCCATAGAGATTGTATTGAAAGCTCTGATATTTGAAAAAAATAGATTTTACATGGGAGTCTATGACAGACTTCTGGGCGATTTTCAACCTGACTGAAATCGCCCCAAAAGAGGGGGGGGCCATTTGAAGCACGACTTTAGCCTGATTGGACATTTAGTGGCACTGTGGCAGATCAGACGTCTAGATTACAACACTGATAACTACTGTTGCCGTGATATAATTGATTAGAAAAAAAATCCCTTCCTTTTCCTGTTTGGCAGTGCGTCGCCCATATCGCCCTATTGAACACACCGCCCCTGGCTGTTACATTGAACTGGGTGAATGGAATATGAATGAGAGTCATCCAATATGCTGTAATAAAAATAAGGCCATGCTCATGAAAAAAAAGTGTCCTCCCTCATCTTAAATGGCACTGACCGCCACTGGTAGTAGCAGTAGCAGTAGTAGTAGAGATAGTAGGTGGTAGCAGGACGCCTAGAAGGTGGTAGTAGTAGTAGTAGTAGTAGCAGCAGTGATAGTAGGTGGTAGCATGAGGCCTAGAAGGTGGTAGCAGTAGCAATAGTAGGCCTAGAAGGTGGTGGTGGTAGTAGTAGTAGTAGCGGTAGAAGTGGGTGGTAGCAGGAGGCCTAGAAGGTGGTGGTGGTAGTAGTAGTAATAGTAGTAGTAGTAGTAATAGTAGGTGGTAGCAGGAGGCCTAGAAGGTGGTGGTAGTAGTAGTAGTAGTAGCGGTGATAGTAGGTGGTAGCAGGAGGCCTAGAAGGTGGTAGTAGTAGTAGTAGTAGTAGTAGTAGTG